GCCAGCGAACGTGAACGTTTGAACAAATATGGAGTCCACAAAAGAAGTGTTTCCACCCGGTTCCAAAGGAGCACATCGAGGCACACCAGCTTGGCCTGTATCTTACTCTGCGCGTGAAATGACTTGTGCCTGTGATTGCGCCCATACAAAAGACTGGTAGGTTCTGTTGCGTTGCGGTGCCATACCGCAAACGGGAATGAACGCGAAGATGTTGATGCCAGCAATGAAGTTCTATCGACTCGATCGCATCAAAATACTCGTAACAGGCAACCGACCGGCACGAATGGGGCACAGAACAGCGTAAGTAAACTTGTGTTGCATTATCTAGCAGTTCTCGGCGGAGTTTACCCGTCCTTGGAAATTGATTCTGGTGCACCATGCTAAGAAGAGATCTGGAGTTCATTCCTTCATCCCTAGTGAACTGATCACTCAAGACTTTGTGTGGTTCGAGGCTGCTCCTGTTCGTGCCGGCGTAAGTGCTGCAGACATGAATGCACGTACTAGTTAGAACAGTGTATACACGGCAATTCTATTGCTGCGTGGTGAAATATTCGGTACAGTTCTGAACCTTTTGGCGTAAAAAAAAATACGGTTGCACGCTTGCAAATAACGGAAGACACCTTGCCGTAACGCTATCGTTTTAGAGACCAGATCGACGAAATATACAAAAAAGAACGAGAACATCACGCGTTTTTGCTCGTATTTCGACTTTCTAGCGCATATACGGAGCAAACAAGCTATTTCTTCGTGAAGAGCTATTGTCTGGTGCCTGATGTATTTTCGACTGAGACCAATGAACACTTCTCAAAAATTATCACTTCGCCCTTGCAGATTTCACTATAAAATCTTTACGACTACAGTTCCTGCTATCAAAAGTCCAAGTTTAATTGTAATGTCAACTAATATACGTTGCGACAAAATGCATGAAAATTACCACGTGCGAAGTTATGTGGCCGAAACTTACAAAAAGAGACATAATGCAAATCGCATGGATGCTTGGATGCGCGCAGTAAAAATTGTTGAATAAAGGGTATGGATGGGTCACGGCTGCTTGATATAAAGAGCTTAACATGAAAGTCATTTTCATTGGCATGCAGTCACAAAAAAATACAGTAAAAAATTATTCACGGAGCAAAGTAAGCATAACCGAAATATAACTATGAATATACGAAAACATGCTGCGTATACATTTCATTCCTGGTAGTAAGTGGAGCGTTGCATGACATGTGAAACTCAGTCCACCAAGACGAGGGCCACGCGATCCACGCTCAACAAACATCAAAGATGTCTTCTCCGATCTGGCGAGTCATCGCATTGATCCGTTTTCAAAGATTTCTCCATTCAATGGTGTGACGAGGCTGCTGCTTGATACAGTCACTCTACACCCTGTTTACTCTATTTTACTGCGATTACTTTGCTTTTACCTTCCCTCTTCACAAGCATACGCATGCCGATAGGAAGTGGGGGGGGGGAGTTTTATGACTTTGATATACATGTACGCATTCTGCTCAACCTACCACCAGTAGTCACGTTACAGAGGAAAGCTGATGCCTGTGTGTCCCTCATCCCCCTGCCGTTGGGTCAGTGTGAACGCCTCCAAAAAAAAATAAAAAATTCTGGCTACGCCCCTCGCCACTGGCAAGCGGGTATGTCTGACAGGTGTTTGAAAATTACTATCTACACATGAACGATGGCAACAAACATGGGTACCTTTAACGCATGAACTTTAAGAAAAAAATTGACACAGAAAACCTTGATCCGTCGAATGAAAAGAATAAATTTCTGCGTCCCAGCAGGGATCGAACCACAGCAATCTGCGTGGAAATCAAGCATTCCACTGCAGAGCCACGTTATGTGGTGGATCTACATTTCAAATACACTCTAATATTCGTGAAAAGTCAGTTTCGGTTGTAGTGCTGGCATTTATAAGCATATGTACTACTGTGATACAGCCATCATCTCGTGTTAACGTCAAGTGTAAATAGCTGCCATGCGCTGAAGTTGATATATATAGAAGTGTTCAGGGCTACCATCTTCGCGAGCCCCAGCGCTTTGTATCAGCTTATCGCTTCTTGTATTCCATGTACTAATGTTCCTGGTATCATCGCTGTGCAAGTGCAATAAACAGGTTACATAATATCGCAAGTGGTTAAAGTGACAATAACGTCAAATAATTTGTGTCAGAGTGAAAGCTTATTGTATGACAACATCTAAAACAGCAATGTTATCAACAACAGTGACCTACTTACCGAGAAATTCAAGAAAATGCACAAGAAGACAAGTACCGCAGTAGCCTATCTTCAAAATGATCCCGATGACTTCAGAATGGGTGCCTACAATTAATCACTCGTAATCGGTCTAATTGCACTAAAAAAAGAACCTTCCATACATCAAGAGATGCAGTGAAATACAGATTGTTCGTTTCTGTTTGACTCATGAAAAAAAGAACCGCCGGACGTTACTATGGGGAATGGCGCGTGTGGGTCAAAAACTCAATTTTCGCGTGGTTACACGGGATCGGTGGTGCCATCTAGTGAGGTGCAGTTGAAACAAAAGCGTCTGCGATCTTGAAGCCAATGGCCAGAAAGAGATAAATGGCCATGGCTAATGTAGCTCCCGCTGCTTTCGGACTGCTGCTACTAGCGCAGTAAAGTTGAGCAGCGTTGTGCATGGCAACAGTGACGTGAAAGGGTCCGGCCCAGTCGCTTTTTGAGGCGGGTTATTTGAAGTGCACTAACCCATTGCGGAGCACGAAAACGTGAGTTTATTTCAAAATAGGCCCTTCCTTCGCAAAAATGCAACACTACGAGGTTTCTGGACCATTAATTCAACAATGAACGTCGACTTAATAATTGTTTTTAGTGTCCCTTTAACAGATGTTTTGTCGTGCCCCATTTCTGCATTTATTTAGCGTCATTCCTTCACTTGTCGCTCAATAAAGAAATAGAACACGGCCACTGTCCCCCGTATGCTTCGCATAAGTCTGATACCCAAATCAAATCAAATGAATTCTTCATTTACAGGCAACAATGATGTAGTACATTGCAAGCAAATATGCAGGAGGAGGCTCCAAGGTGACAAACCGCAGGCGGGACCTCTTATGTTAATACAAAGAAAAAGCTAAAATATGAACAACGAAGTCGTAAGCAATACGGACATTGAAAAGTGTTTACGTTAGTATTTTAAATTTTTTACAAACAAAACAAAATATAAGAAAATAATAAAAGGCAGAACTTATACTTATAACAGGCATTTTTTCAATTTCATTTTAAAAACATGAATGTGCGTTATGTTTTTATATCATTTGATAAAGAATTTCCTATTGAAATTGATGAAGAAAGATTGCTCTTTTTCATGTTTAGTGTGAACTTTAGGCCATACAGTTTTTTGGCAACTGCGAATCGGGTTTTATTGAGATTATTCAACAAGACACTCGGAAATATGTCGATAGCGAGGGTGCTGTGAAAAACATTGAAAACTCAAAACACACAATTTTTAAACGTATATTTGGGAGGCGAATAATGCGTAAAGCTGACAGAAAGTAGCTTATGCTAGCGTCTGACATGAAGCGAAACTCATTAGTCACATTGCTTGTTTTCGCAATACCTTCAACAACGAAATGTACACTGAATATGAATTACCCCTTTATGTAATGCAATAAGTGAGATGGCTGTGTATGAATGCATAATCCAAAGTCTTCAGAGTGTCGATGTTAAGGCACGTTTGTGGCTGGACCAATGCCCTGATACATTGTGAAATATTTTTTTTCAAAGGTACGTGGGATCTGCCGAATTTTCTATGAACTTGATGAAGATCGGAACACGGTGGCTTCTTTACTTTTAGTCAGCCCACATGTACATATACTTTCTTGGTCTAGTAATCACTCTTCATCTCACTTTCTCTGCTGAACGGTTAACGTAACTTTTGTTTTTTGTCGGTTGTCTTGTTATTCTTACTTTATATTTAACTCATTTACACCTCCAGTATGTCTTTATGGTTATCTATAACCATCTTTGCTGAAAAGCGCCATATCGCCCGCAAGAGGTAAGTAGCTAAAATATTCGTGAATGCTTATTCGTATATTCTTTTTGGTTGTTAAAATATTTGTAGTAAACATGTCAGCAGCCCTGAAGAGATTGCATCATTTTTTCACCTAACGCTATTCTCGACCACGTTATCCCAACTTTTCTTCAGAAATGTGATGGTTGTAGGGCCAATTTAAATGTTGGTTTTGATCTATATAAATGTGTACGTACTTCTCATGGTTGAAGTTGTTCCAACAATGCTTGCGTTAGTTCTATAGTGTGGATAAGCTTGTCTTTATGGCTATGCAATTGTGTTGCTTCTACAATACCCAAGCGCACATGCAGTTGCTGCAGCAGGTCTTTCATTATTTATTTGCGTTGGAGACACCATCGCATTTCTGACGAAACCTCGCGTGATTCCACAGATTTTGGGCTCTTATGTTAAGACCTCGGTGTCATAGTACTTGTAGTTACGAAGTATGAAGACAATGATCGTCGATGGGTGGCGTGTGACGCCTAATAGGCTATTTCAGCAGTGCTGGCTTACAATACAGGTATTAAAGTAAAACCAATTTACCAAAGTGGGCACACAACCATTTTCCTTGATGACACGTCCATCAACCTTTATACTTAAGCTACTGTATCTTTCAGGTGCTACCACCTGTGTATTCACCTAAACTAGCTATAAAAACACTATGACGGTGCAGTATTAGTGTATTTAACAACAAGGTACACCATCATTGATAAGACCTAGTAGCCACAGATGTAAACTCTTGCGCCATTAGCTTTCCGGCGTCGGCAAAACCAAGTCTTCGCCAACGTCGAATTGCTCACATAGGCCAAATAACGGCTTATGACTATTGTATGAATGACGTCACGCCCGTACAGTTCGACGCAGGAAGACCCACATACAATTTACTACTCAGTAGATAAGAATTCAATCGGCACTTTCATGGATAGTAGATTTTTTTGCAGCTTACGTTGTGGATGAAACTTGTGATGGAAAAGGCTTTGGATGCATATTTTTCGCCGACTGTCCGCCGAATACATCAGTGCCCCTTCCTGGATGTTCAGGATGGAAATCTTGTTGTGGAGATCGTAAGCACCTTTTTTGGCATTTTCTTAAGCTCCACATCGCTGTCACAAAACTCCTGAGGCAATGGCATACATATATTTGCACATATATCAAGCATACTAATGAAGTGTTTAGGAAGCACTGAAAGAGACAATCAAAGTAATCCTGATTGAATCGTCTTCATCAAGACCATTTCACTCCAAGACATTGTTTTTTTTAATAATCCAATGTCATTTTTTGTGTTTCGAACATGGCACCGCATTATGTTATTACTTCGCCCAAGCGGTATTAACACTATCTTTCTCGATTCCCACAAGGGCTAATAGCATATTTAACGTATTTCCTTTCAATAGAAGCTATAAATAAATGCAATTGTGCATACAGAATTGATTAGTAGAACTACTATATCACAAGTATCAAATGCACAATTGCTTGACTTTCCACTTAACTGCAAGAACCTTGGACATTCTGCAACATTACGCTGAAACACAAAAATATTTATGGCAGCTTAACATGAGAGCATAATTTCCTGCAGAAATTCAAGTAGAAAAGGCTAGGAAGTTCCACGGTGCGAAACAAGTCGATAAAATTTGTTTTTTGAGATTTAGGTTCGGCATCGTATGAGGATTGTCTCAGAGAACATAATTCATCGAATTCAATGTTTTATTGCTTTTTTCTGCATTTTGTTCATAATTAGAAGATGCATAGTACGAAAAGGCTATTCGTTGTGATTGAAGGTGACAGTAACGCCGTGTAATGTATAGTCTGCCCTACCAGGAATCAAACTCTATTGTCACTACTGCCTACATAGTAACGCAGTGGTTCATTTTGTATAAGTTTCTTTTTATTTGTTTATAGTTCGCTACGTGCCATGTCGACAAACAGTTCACTGAGATATGCCAGTTGCACTCTGGTGTACTTCTAGATTGTTACTTCAAATGTAGTTTTCTTTAAAAAAGCACGCATGGACGCAACAATGGATAGACAGTTGTTGTCAATAACTTCTTATTGAGAGGTTCTCATGCAATACCAGATAACTTAAACTTGCCGAGCGCGTAAAGAATACAATGCAATCAAATTGCCGCACCTCTCCAGTATTAAGTCTATCGTAATCATATGGTAACTTTTCCATGCTTAATCCATCAAATATCATCATCCAACTTCTGAGAGCTTCAGAGACAATTGAAAGAGTTTCCATGTATTGTATATTGCATACATTTCAGGCAGGTATAAAAACTGGCGAGTCTTTTGAAATCAACTTCTCGAGAAGTGCGATCTTCGGACCAAGACTAGCAAAGTGTAATGACTGCGACAAGCGGGCCGTAGGGTCAAAACCCTGAGCGCGGAATCGAAACCAAAGGGAAGAAGAGAAGAAAGAAGACTGGTGCAGCGAAAGTACGCAGCCGGCTTTGATGGTTGTCGGGGCTTTCGACCCCGTGTTCTGGGCGCTCGCTTCAGTCGAGCGTGACCTGGACGCCAGCAAGATTTCAGGGTGCGGGACATCGACGTAAGCACGAGCCAGCGAGCTACACGAGAAGGTGTGTTCCCACCGTGGACGCTACCATAACGGACTCAACGCCACGTTGCCTGGTGCTACGGTCACCGCAACGACGGTGCGCGTGAGTGTCGTCTTGAAAACTTGGTGGCGCGGGAGTTAAGTGCGTTTAGTGTTAAGATGTAAACTTACGTCTCGCGTGGACAGCAACTTACCAGTAGACTTTCTTCAATCTCGTATCATCTTGGTGTTCCTTGTGAGATTTCTCGCGTGTGTTTTTGTCCTCGTCCGATATAAAGAACGTCTTCGTGTTATCAGGTTGTCTTGAGTGCATCCGACGACCTGTGCCCATTGAGTAAACCCCTTAGTCACCACACAAAGCATTTACCTGCTAAACTAGGGGAGTGTCTTCAACCACAACCTGGGCAGCATGCTGCTGCCACTTTCTATTATGTTTAAATACAGAGCTTATTAAGCTCGGCCAAAACCCGCATAAATTCTGCCGAAACTCTCTAATGAGGAAAGCCCTAAAACAGAGTACAGCCGGCGTGAGTGAAAGAGAGATATTTCAGGGAGAGAGCGGATGGGAGCAGAGAGGTATAAGTAAGTGAAGGAGTATGGCGCCTTTGCTGGCTAAAAATAAAGCCTTGTATAACAAAGTACTGATTCATGTAGTGAGGATAGAGAGGGAGGTGATTGCTAAATTATGGTCCCTGGTGAGGTAGAAATAACAAAGCAAAGCAGATGGAGAAGTCGAGAGCCGGACAAACAGAAGTAAATAAATGAAGTATAGCTTCTAGCCGATGTGGGACTAGAGCGTGGAAACCCATTTGCAAACGGAAGCTTTGTAGCTATTGCTGTGGCCGGTCTTTGCAGGCACCGGAGATCCGGGATCAAGATGTCGAGGCACCAGGAAGTTGATCTTCGTAGAGAGGGTTTATTTATAATTTGTACAAGCTCTCTGGTCCGAAGCTCTACATTGAAAGGCTCTCCATTCAACCATCTCTTAGCAACCCGTGATGGCTGATTTTAAACACTCTAATTTCCCCAGATCTCCAGATGAGGGAATAGGTTCATACTGCACTGTCCAATAAAGGTGCCACAGCACACACGTGGGTCAGTATGCTGGTGCCACCCCCAACATTCACATATACACAAATTAAACACGTGTATGGTCCCGGTGACGCTGTCTCCTCCGGCAAGTCTTGCTTCCAGCGAGCGGGGTGTAAGTAGTCTGTCATCTCGCTGCTCGGGCCGACCACCCATGCTTTGGCTAATAGTGGTCACGAGTTAGGCGCCTTTGAGGGCCAATACCGGGACATCTGGTAATTATTTGAGCGTCCGTGGCTCGTCAGTCAAACGTGTGGCAGCTTGAGCTAGGTGGTATGGCATGACGATAGTTATAGCGCGAGAACAAAACGACAACACAAAGACAAAAATGACACATAGGACACGAGCGCTAACTTAGCGCTCGTGTCCTTTGTGTCCTTCTTATCCTTCTTGTCTCTGTATCGTCGTTTTGTTCTCGTGCTATAACTATCGTTGTCAGTCAGCGACACAGAGCATTGTAGTCCAACGTTCGTGTTTGGCGAAAACTCAACACTTTTTCTGGGGCACGAAGACGCCACGTGTCGCATCTCCGCGCCAACCCCAGAGCACAGCAGAATTCTGTTCGAGAGTAATTGCAACTACGAAGCGCCCAGTACATAACAACAGCAGGGCGTCTTCACGCTGCTCTTATCTCCACAAAGTGAGGCGGCAGTCCTTCCTCCGTCCCGGTGGCCACGGCAAAATGGATGGCACGTCAAATGCAACAATATTGAATTATCCTGGTGCCTTTTTTTATTTTACGAGAAACTACTGCGCAAATATTGGCATTTCAAAAATGGGCAAACAGGCATCTTAAAATACGAATCAAACCTAGGAAAGTATAGTTTAGAGTCGAACTGGAATATTCATATAATTCATATATACTGCGTGTTTGAATAACTTTTATTTAGAAGATGCTGTTTCTTCATAGTAGGAGTCCAACACTGCTCGTCATAACGCAATTTAGTGTGCTTTTTCTCGTCATAATGGCTAGTAGTTATATTGTGATACAACGTTTCAAGCAACGTTTCATAGTTCCCGAAGATGCGATGAAGAGACCACACCCAAGGCGCCGATAATAGGCAAGCTGAGTTGCAAAAACCAATGAAGTTGGCGAACACTTATGATAACGGATATGTATGAATAAAGTATGTGCCTAATGAATGGTCACAGTGAATTCTCCCCAACGTGAATGCGGTTATCGAGACTGCAGTTTAAAGTGAAAAAGAACGCCTTCCGATACGCTTCATGCGTGATACCTGAACTTTCTCTGCTTCCCGGCAGCGGCAATTCATTGGAAGAAGAACGAGTGCTACGTCATAATCGACAGTAGACGTTTGCTCTGATACAGCGTAAGGGTCAATGAGGCGTCATTGAAACTCGTCGCACAGGCCAGCCATCAGTGTGAATAGGTGTAAGAAGCAACCTTTCATCGCCAGGGCTGAAGGAAACAGCACGATGAAATGCATTACAGTCAAGCTTGCGATCCTGTTGCTTTGCTTCAAAGTTGACACGGGCCAGGTGGTGGCAAGGAAGCAGATGTGGCACATACTTTTGGCTGGATCATGAAGATATGGTTTAACAGAAGCAAAGAAGCACAAGATGTCGAGGAAAAATTGGGGCGAGCGACCGTGGCCGACTTAGAGTGGCGAGTAACCAGTTTTGCGCTGTAAAGAGCAATTGTACTAAAAAAATAAAAAAATGAATGGCTATATTGCGCCCCAGTTTGGGTACAGTTCAATATTGTCACGGGGTCGTGATAACGATGAAGGGAGCAGACAGTAGGTCGAAGATAGTAGATAGAAGACAGTAGGTCGCGAAACCACCATATGATTATGAGAGACGCCGTAGTGGAACGCTCCAGAAATTTAGACCACCTTAGGTTCTTCAACGTGCACCCAAATCTGAGCACATGGGCCTACAGCATTTCTGCCTCCGTCAGAAATGCAGCCTCCGCAGCCGTGATTTGACCTCGCGAACTGTGGGTTATCAGCCGAGTGCGTCAGCCACTACACCACCGTAGCGGGGCAGTCCTGAAGCTTCTCGAACACTGGAGGTACGGTTTGCCCTGAGAATTGCGTACAGCGTAGCGCAGTGGTAAGAAAACTTGGGGAAGGAACGTGCCATTGCCCCCTTCCAAATAAGGCTTCGTCCCGAAGCTTTAGCAGCTTTAACAGAAGATGAAAGTACAATAACAATGTAAGGAAGTACAAATATTAAAGTACAATACAGCAATATGACAAAAAAAGTCACAGCTTTGCCACAAAGGCGAATCAATGAACGCCATAGCAGCTAAATATGTCACGCGCAGAATGGCAGGCAAATCTAAACGTGCGCCACCGTGCTCACACACAAATTATGCACAAAACGTACTCACAGGTACAGATAAACGCGAATAAGCATCTCAGTTCTTACTGCGCTGTCTGAAAAGCATGCCCT